GCTGTAGTTCAAATCCTAGTTTAGTGCTGGTGCAGATACTCCAGCAAAGACAAGAAATAAGTACAAACTATTCTTCACTTCTGACTTTACTGTAGACCAGAATAAAAAAAAATAGTTATTATTTTCTCATCACAGAGCTTATCCTAGGCCAGTTGGCTTTACACCATCCAGTAAGGCAAAGATTTGCAATGGTCTCTGTTGGGTCATAATTCTAGTTCCATCCCTAAGAAAAACTTTGAATATTTAGCTTCCCTTCATATTCTACAGTGGCTTCCCCTGTTTTCCAGACTTAAATTTAAATTGTCTCCATTATCTATAAGAACACTGTTTGTCAGACAGTTTTTGACTGATCAGAATGCACCCTGCTATTGTGATAGAGGCCTTTTCTAGGAACCTCCTACATTCAGTCCTTTTTATTTTTACCTATAGGACTCTCATTCCTTCAGAAGTATCCTTTCATTTCTTTAAGGAAGAAATAGTGTTAAGCCAATATAAACCAAAAAAAAAACAACCCCAAAACCCCCAAAAAACCCAACAAAACCAAACATGAGTAACCAATGTGTTTTATTCCTCAGTTTCCTAATACTACATTTTCTCATTCTCTGCTTAAGTTGCAAAGTGTTCTGTGAAGGATTGTTTTACCTCATTTGTCTACAGGTCACTGCTAATACGTGAAGCAAAAAATAAAGGTAGTGATAACAACATACTGTTCAGTTTGCAAGTTTATATACTGCTTGACTTGAAGAAAAATAGCATTTTTGCATTGCTGTGTTCATGGCTTTATTATCTTGTATAGATTTATTTTAGATCTAGGATAGTTAGTATTTTAAATGCACTCCTTTATCATTAAGTAAGACTTACTTTATTTGTATAGACCATGTATGCAACCAGCCCATATTCTGATCCTGTTGTGTCGATGGATCTTGATCCCCAACCAATTACAGATGAGGAAGAAGGCTTGATCTGGGTTGTTGGACCAGTTCTTGCAGTGGTGTTTATCATCTGTATTGTTATTGCTATACTTCTGTATAAAAGGTAAGTTTGCCTTTTAGTTTTCCTATCAGGTGTGTAACTTTCTGATATATTGGCCATTTTGTAATAGTGTTCCATATTACATTTTTTGTACTACAGTAGTAACTGCCATTGCTTTGGTATATTTCTGTACTTATTAATAATTTCCAGAATACTGCAGAAATTTTAGTAGATTAACTGAAAGTTTCCAATAATTACAGGTATGTGGGTACATTTTTCTGTTGATGACACTCTATCAACATTTCTGCATTTAAATGTTTTTCCCACTTTGCATACGTTTATGAAGAAAATATGTGCTTGCATATAAATATGTATGAAATTCACACATTTGACTTTTTAAAACTTATTTTAAAATGTGTAATAGTAATACATTAGGGGTTACATTCAGCTTGATGTTATATGTGATTTTCATCTCCACTCAAGTAATTTGAGTTTTTACTTTTGACAGTTGGCCTCAATTTGGCAGTGTGTCTGTATTAACTTGAAGCTCTGAACTGAGAGATTAAAGAAACATCAGTAGCTGTTTTCTACTAATCTTGCAATGAGATTAGACTTCACTTATTCTTCTTTTACTGTCTATGACACAGATGTAGGCTTGCTATTTCACAAAGGACTTTCCTCTGCCTTACAACATACTAGATGAAAACTGTGTATGATGCCTTAATTTATACATAGCAGCCTTTTACAGTGTAAATGAGTTCACAGGAGTCAAGTTACTGAATCAAAACCAAAGAATCAAACACACAAGACTTATTTTAAAATTTTTGAAATATATTGATAAAGTATAATTGGAAAATACTATAAAGATGCTGTGACCTTCTCAGGGCTCAGGCACACTAGGGATAATTTCATTAAACGGAGTATGTCTTCTAAAACTAATAGCTATGATGCTATCACCTGCATATAGATATTTAAAATCTGCTTGGAAAGAGAATTCTCTGTTCAGCAGTAAAAAAACAGTCCAGGGTAAACCTTAGCTTTGGATTCCAAGTAGATACATACATTTATAGAATGTTCTTTAGGTCTGTAATCATGCAGCTGCATAATACATGGTCTATTGCTGGCAGATATTATGTCTCCTGAAGATTTCTATTAGTGCCTACTGGCTCAGCCAATCTAATTGATTAGCAACCAGTGAACCTCTGTTTGTGCCTGTCTGTCACTTCAAAAACTGGTCATTAGAGATGTGCAAAAAGTGAAATACTCCTTTCTTCTGATTGTTTTGGAGTATTAAAAGTAAAATTTCTGCTATACTACAAAACAAATCCAACCAATGGCACATAAAGCAGATGTGTAACTGCTTCTGGAAATATTGATTACATTTGTGGAACCATAATAACAATCTTCAGTTCTAGTACCAAAAAAATTACAGGTATATTCCACAAATGAGCAGGTAAAATTTGTTCAACAGTGGTGTGAAGAGATTGTCGTTCACTGAAAATGGGGGACACATTTTCCATCTGTTATTTACTACTGGTACTAGAACTGTTTGGGCAAATGTCCATATGTATTTATTTATTTTTCTATTTTCAGCTATAAGCTGTAAATCAATAAACTGCACTGATCTCACAAATTACCTCTGAGGAATTATGACTGCAGTTTTACCAGTCTATAGTCCTCTGTGAACTTTTCATTTCTGTAAAAAAAGTAATATATAATTGGATATTTATTTTTTAGAGTATGCAACCTGGATGCGAGCTAACAGATAGAGTTTGATAACTTTACTGTCTGTAGAACATCAATAACTAGACAAGACGATATTTAGCATAGTGCTTTGAGAAAACAGTGACATCTAATTTCTGAGTTAACTCTGTTAAAGGGAATTACTGTGGCTACAGTAGTTGGACATGGTAAAAACATGCAATAAAAATAGGAAAAGAAGATATTTTCAGGGATACAGGGAATTTCACAGATATATTTCTAGAATATATTGGGGCATAAGTGCAAAAGATGGGATAGGGAGAGAAGAAAACAAAGAATATAGAACATCTGCTTAATACATGAAAACACGTGAAAAATATTACAAAGAAGAAGATGATGTTAAAGGATATACAGTGGGAAGAAGACAACTCAGAAATAACTATGTCTTTTGAAGTGTGAAGTGTAGTAACTCAAATAATGGTCAACTATGCTTAATTCTGTTTGTCCATAGAAGCCTTTATGAACAGACCTGGACTGCTAATCTCATGATTTACAATACTACTTCTACATTTTAAGTTCAGTCATAGAGAAAGGATCACTGTGATTTCTAAAAGAATAATTTTAAGGGGAGAAGTCTTGTCCTCCTTTAAAACAGATGCTATCACAGATAGCATGGATAAGTTGTGTGGGTTAGTGTGAAGCATATTTAGTTGTCAAAAAGACTAGGAGTGCATGTTTGACCCCTTTGTTATTTGTTGGTCAGTTTGTATAAAGGTTATATCCTCTGCATTTACTCTTCTTAAAATCTGAAAGCAAACGTACTGCATAGAAAGATTTTTGGATTATATATTAGAATATACCCAAAAAGTCATTGGAGCTTAGTACTTAGTAGTAATAGTGAAAATACTGAAGAGTACCTTTTGTTGTCATTGGATATAGCTGCAATATAATACCCAAACCAAAGGGTCCCACCTCTGGAGACTGCCCTGTCCCAGCCTTGCTCAGAGCATCACCAGCTACAGCAAGTTGCTCAGAGGTGTGTCCAGGCAAGTTTCAGTATATCCAACTCCACAGGCTCTCTGGGCAACATGTGTTCAACTATCTTCACAGTAAAAGTTGTTTTTTCCTGAGTTACGGTTGAATTTCCTGTCTTTCTGGAGTTAACGTCTTGGCAAACAGAACTGACTTGGCCAGTGACCAGTTTAGTGTTCTCTGTCATTGCAGCAGTGATTCCACCCTGCAGTCATGGTGAAGGGAGACAATTATTTTGGAGCAGATCTTTAATCTGTTGGACTTAAATGTAAACAATCAAATTTAGGGATCCAAGTAAGTTAGCTAAATATCACTTTCCTTTTGGTTATATTCTTGCCTTCAAAAAATAATTTTTTTGCTGGTTCAAATGTGGAGTAAAATATACAGCATAGTAAGATTTATATACAAAACTTCAAACGAAGGCAAACGCTTACCTAGATATAGAGATAGTGCAGGCTAAGTCTCCTCTATAGGCAATGCCTAACCATTATGAGGGCTGTTTGTGTCACTGTTTATATCTCAGGGTGGTTTTGATAAAAGTATTACCTTGCTGCAACCTACAGCTTAGGCAAACCTGCAGTAAATCCTTTTGACTCGCTTGTGAATTTGATACATGTTCAATTACACAGGATTTAGATGGTTAGGAACCCAGTTAGTGAAATGTTAAAGAGCTCTAGAAATTGTTTGCTGTATCTCAGAAACTGACAAACTAGAACAAGAGTGCATGTCCCCATGAAGCATCCTTTCATCTCCCCCCCCACCCCCTCAACCCATATGAATTTAAATGGCTATTCCTCCTTGTTTTTAAGAAATCACAACTTCTATAACTTCTCTAATTTCAGCCATTTGCTGATGAAAAGCAAAATGTTCCTCATTCTAGATCTTTCTAGAGTTGGGTTTGTTTGTAGAGTGGGTTTCCATTTGGGGGGAAAATAAACAAAAGCTGTCTTGTTTGCTCTTATAAAGTGTAGCTTTTTGATTTAATTCAGAAGACAAGAGCCTAAGCTTGAATCTTTTGAACATAGTGAATTTTGGCACTCTGAGTCATAGAGTCATAGAATGATTTGGGTTGAAAGGAACCTTTAGAGGTCACCAAATCCAATCTCCCTGCAAGGAGCAGGGACATCTCACACTAGATCAGGTTGCTCAGAGTCCCGTCCAACCTGACCTTGAATGTTTCCAGGGATGGGGCATCTACCACCTCTCTGGGCAACTGGTTCCAGTGTTTCACCACCCTCTTCGTAAAAAATGTCATCCTTATATCTAGTTTAAATCTTCCCTATTTTAGTTTAAAACCATTACCCCTTGTCCTATTGCTCCAGGCGCTGCTAAAAAGTCAGTCCCCATCTTTCTTATAAATACCCTTTAAGTACTGAAAGAATGCAATAAGGTATCCCCGGAGCCTTCCCTTCTCCAGGCTAAGCAACCCTCTCAGCCTCTCCTCATAGGAGAGGTGTTCCAGCCCTCTGATAATTTCTGTGTCCCTCCTCTGGGCCTGCTTTACAGCCCTCTGTGCTGAGGGCTCCAGAGCTGGGTGCAGTACTCCAGGTGGGGTCTCACCAGCGTGGAGTAGAGGGGCAGAGTCACCTGCCTTGATCTGCTGGCTACTTGCTGAGTCTTGACCTATAAGAAGAAATGTGCTTCTAAGGGAAAAAAATAGATGTTAAAAAAAGCACAGAATTGAAAATGGGGGAATCTTAAGTGATGATGAAGGATGCTATAAAGATTTTTTCATATCATGTGAGTAATCTGGTCATTGCAGACTGCAGGCTATTAAAAGTTTGTAGAAACCGTATTCATTATGGTCAACAGACAAACAGAAAGATAGACAAACAGTGTGTTTAGAACCTGTTGGTGGGAGATAATAAATTATTTTCCCTGTTTAGCTGATCTTTATGGATCATAGATCACTACAGATCAATATATATCACTGTAGACTTAAATTTGTGACATTCCTTCTAAATCTAAAAAGGTGTATAATACTTAGTTAGGGAAA